GATGGATCCTAAATGTAATCACATGGGTCCTTTTAAGAGGGGGAGGCAAGGACATCCAAGGGGGAAGGCGATGGAAGCAGAGAGATTAAAAAAATGCTACATTTTTGGCTTTGAAGCTGCAGAGAAGGGTCATGAGTCAAGGAATGCAAGGAATATACATCATATATGGGATGCAGTATATTATAGAATTAGATATAAAATTATCCAGGTGATATATTTATAGGAATTCATTTAAAGGGACCACTTTCTAATCAGTTTCTGGAACATGGATGCAGAGAAACTGGCCATAGGGTGAAATGCCTTGAGCAGTATTTTCTGCAGTGGGTTCCCTGACACAGTTGAACCTGAAGATGCTAAGCAGTAAGTGTTCCTGGTGAATTCAGGGATAAGAAGAACGTCATGGTGTTTAAAAGCTAGAATCTGTAATCAGAAAGACATGGCTTTGAATCCCCACTCCATTATTTATTGGCCATGTGGCTATGGCAAGTTAAGTGCTATAAACTTCAGTTTCTTCTTCTGTAAGATGAAGATCCTGAGAACCCCTACCTTCTTGTGTTACCCAATTAGATGCAATAACGTGTTCAACCTGCTACCCCAGAGGTGACACAGATGTTGGCTATTTTCACTCTGATGATACCCACCACCTGTCTTCTTGGAGAATCAAAATGTGTAATAGTGCGTTAAAGACTGAGAAATCCTGTTGAAAACAGCAATGTTGTAGAACCTGCTAGTCTCAGGCACTGTCCTAAGGACCTGGGAGTAGGCCTCTTAAGCTTGATAATGAGAATGCAGTGGAGGGTCAGGTAGGGGCTGTTTTCTGCTCTAGATGACAGATTTCTACTACTACCTAGAAATTAGGGTAGCAATCTTCACTCACATTTTTCAGGAAGCAAAATTGAGCCCCAGAGCTTGCCTTAGAGAATTAAGATTGAAATCCACATCTCCTGTCTCCCCTTTCCGGATGTACAGTTTATGAGCCACCTGGCTCTTCTCTCTCACCTACCTTGAAATTTGACTCTAATGAATAAACTTAGAAGAAAATTATGATTGCCCAAAAAGTAAATGTATGCCCTTTTAAGTACCATAATTGAAAAAAGAGAAGGGGACAGTCTTTTAGAGTGAAATAAAACTGTCTGCATTTAGTAAAACCTGCGATATCAGGTCAGTGTCTTGTGAGGTAGTAATAAATGCCTCCTATCAGGGGCTTACGGTAGAGCAGTGTGAACAAGTGTCAGGCTTTCTTGCATGGGGCCAATCTGTTGAAATCTACATTCTCTGTTTTCGTGGTGTCATTGGATCCCAGAGATCCCGAGCTCCCTTTTCACTGTCTTTGTCCTGTGAGCCTTCAGTGTGTCTCCAGGTTTAGAGTAGGAAACCTGTGGTGGTGAGAGCAGGCAGTGGTACTGGCCTGAAAGAAATCTAAGATTTCTTGTTAAACTGGTTGCCAGTATCATTTATGTGCCAGCCAGGTCCCACGAGTCTTGACCCCCAAGGCTCCTAGAAGACAGTTTCTCTTCTTACTTACTTACTTATTCCCACACCGAGCAGAAGAAGTATTCTGTTTCCATCCCCCACTTCAACCAAAACCTGCTTTTCACAATTGACCTCTGAGTCAGGGAGGCCCAGGTTCTTGGTGGTCACTAATAAAAATCTTCAGTGCTCCAAACATTTTGGACTCCTTTCTAATTCCTAAAGATCCCTTACTAATCCCCAGGTGGAGAAGTCAGAGGTTCCAGCTGATTTGCTGTGACCTGTTTGCTGTCTTTGGGTTTGTATTCCTTAGAAATGATGTTTGATTTTCTGTGCCCTTCTCTCTTACTGAACTGCATCCAAAACAAACATCATAGATTTTGACATGGGAAAGTTTAGCTGTTCAAACATGCACACCCTGCTGACATTCACATGTACAGGTTGTACCACACACCAATGTTTATAGAGTCTTTGACAGGTATGAAAAACACTAGCCTTTTTTCATTTCTAGTGGTAGCAGAGTATAACGACTATTTCACCAAGCCTAATTTTCATAATACTTCATTTTCTTTTAAATCATATTACATTTCATGCCTACAGATACTCAGAGCCAAGGCCCTGGTTTGCATGCAAGGATGCTGACAGTGTAGGAAAATGAACAGTGTTTTGAGGAAAGTGGAATTAACATCAGTTACATAGGTAAAATGAATTTTGTTAACATCTTGATACATGACAGCATGTCCATCCTAAGGCAGGAAAGAGCCCAGGACTGGGAGGGCAGTGTCTGGGCTCTGATTCCAACTCCACCACCAATTAGTGGTAGAATATTGGGGAACATAATTGAATTCCTCACCTGAACTAGGACTAGGCTTCCTAATTTACCTGGAGTATCCATTCAAGAAACAGATTCCCAGCCCTCAGCCCAGACCTACAGAACTGGAATCTCAGGGGAAGGGATCTGCAACACACACACACACACACACACACACACACACTCTGTGTGATTCTTTTGAACAATTTTGGAGAACACTGAATTAGGTAATGTCTAGGGCTTCCAGTTCTGAGAGGCTATGATAAACTCCAGAAGCTATAAGATTCACCAGTGAATGGAAAAATCCAAAGATAGAATTTATTAGTTAGTTCATACTCAGTATTTTTATGAATATTCTATATTGGCTTTTTGAAAAGTTACTGAAATTAATGCTATGGTTGGTGTTTTATGGGTCTAGATATTTTTTAGATTTGTTTTTCCGCTTTGACTTACTGACTGTAATGTCTAGTCTATGAGGCTCATGGTGTTATAATGAGGATAAATGAGATCAGAATGTAAATGTTTGTTGTTCTCATTATTATAAATAATACTGCTATTAGTAAAACATCTACCATAAGATAGACTCTGCTTTATGAATTTGATAGATCTGCTAGTGTCTTTGGCTTTGTTCCTATTAGTCAAAACCCAGACAAATAAACAAAACACAACTATTTCTTCATTAATTAATTTACTCAAAAATTTTGAGTACCTATTACATACCAAGCATTACACTATGTTCTATCTAAAATGCCTAAGAGTGCCTTCCCTTTCTTCTTTTTTTAACTTGGGAACCTCCCATTTAGTAATGCTCTTAAATGAACACATGTTTTATCAGCCTCATCAATGTATCAATGCATCAGAAAAATAATATGTGCTGGGCACATTTATGTAGTGTAGAGAGAATGCATGAAACACAGTTCAAAGAGAGAACACCCAGCAATAAATACACAGGCCCACAGTAATCTGAGGCCCACAGATTAGTAGTTATTGGTATAGGGTGCCTTTTCCTATTCCTTCCTTTTCTCTATGATACATTACTTTAGAAGAGATTTCAATATTCTCATCCATGGGTTCAAATCCAAACAGTGGCACAAACCTATATAGTGAGACTTCGATTGTAGGAACAAGCAATGGTGAGTCATTTATGTAGGGCTCCACAATTAGTGAAATACATTGACACCTATAATCTTGTTGTTTCCCCAGTAATCCTCTGGTACTGGTAGGGGTGATCCCAGGAGATGTCCAGAGAAGCGAGTGGAGCCAGGGCTGGAACCCAGGCCTCCTGGCTATCAGTCATATGCCTTTTCCATTTCTTCTATGATAACTCTTATACTACAACTGTAGGGGAAATGGAGAATGGGCTTTTCCACACATCTGTGCAGGGGATCTTCTGTGTGGAAAAGATATGGGAAGAGTGATTTAAGATAATTCTTAGATATTTTGCTGGCACCTATTTCGAACTCTCATGATCCTACACTCTTTCCTTTCTCTTGTATCTCTACTCCAATATATCTTCTAAAGTGGAGTTAATGTTTACTGACTATATAGAACATAATCCCTGAGTAAGAGGATGTTAACCCATCACCTTGTTTAATCCTTAGAACAGTAAGCACATTGTTTTGTCGCATTAAGGTGTTAAAAGTCTAACATGAAATCAGAATGGAGTGAAGCCAACAGGGAAGTGAGACGATATAAGAATTTGTCTCCAGTCCCCAACCCATTCCCTAACTGAGTTCCATAGTTATCTAAAGCAGAGTGGCAGGAGTCTCTCCACCCTCAGGAAGAAGAGACTAAGGACACTAACCTGGCTCTGGGGATGAAACTATTCCCTGGCATTACCTCGGAGTAAAGACAAACTATGTACTTGTGGTGACGTTTCCAAAGACAGGTATCAAGCAGGTGTTGAGTACTTGGGAATCAGAATGGGTAGATGGCTATCACTTGGAACAGAACAAGACTTTAGGCATAGGGTCTGGGTACAGGGCAAGGCTCTGCAGGAATCAAGAGATCCAGTGAGACCCACCAGCCAGATTTAGCAAATAATAATATAGGTACCTATTTAAATGTGAATTTTGAGTAAACAGCGAATAATTTCTTAGTGTGTGTCCAAATTAATATATGCACAATTAAAATTTAACTGGGCATCCTGTATTTTATATGATAATGCCAATAGGAACAAAATGTTTCAGAGCCTTCACAGGATGGCATTTCAATTTTTCCTGCTTCCCCTTAAGACCTCTAGTTTCCAGCATCTTCTTCCATATCAATACTCTGAAGGCTCTGTCAATAGGTAAGGTTAGAGCAGGGTGGAGGAGCCATTTACAAAATGGTATCTGTAATATTCTTTCTAACTTAAATAATTAAAATTTGCATTCATACAGACCATTTCCCTAACAGAATACAGTAGCTTCATTTTTAAGATTTAAAAAATGGCATTTTATGGATAGGCATAGAAATGCTTTTCTTTCCAAATAGTTCTTTTTTCATAATCTGACAGTGTTCATTTCTTACAATCAATTTGTGGAGAAGATGATTTAGAAAATTAACTGTGAACATCCACCAGAACTCTTTATTCTCTATACAATAATCTTTATTTAATATATAAAACCAGGAATTAAAATGAATTCTACTTGCATTCATTGTCATACAGAAGTATTTTGTCTAAGTCAGATAAAATATCACTGGAAATATACAATTTGGTATCTTTCTTTCCTCTCAGGTCCTGCACCCTTCTTAATTTTCTCCCATGGAAACAGTATCTTCAGAATTGACCTGGAAGGAACTAATCATGAGCAATTAGTGGCAAATGCTGGCATATCGGTGATCATGGATTTTCATTACAATAAGGAAAGACTCTATTGGGTAGATACAGAAAGACAGCTTCTGCAGAGAGTTTTTATGAATGGGACAAGGCAAGAGGTAATGTACCATTTCCCAAGGTATTTGAGGAATTTTTGTATAGGCTGTCAAACATGACCTGGGGAATTCAGAATGTATAGATAAATGAAAATTACATTGCAATTCAAAAGTTTGCCTGACATGTGTAGGTACTGATTACTCTGCATCTGTGTCATGTTGTTGACCAAGCCCATGACTGTGGAACTTGATATTCAGAAGCCCCCAAAAGGGGAAAGTGAGGATGTCAATGTAATTTTGAAAATATGGAAATTTACTAAGTCAGATCACCATTTTCTGGTTCAAACAGATTCTTTACAGGATTATTTTCTACTCCAGCGGTCCCCAGCTGGGCACAGTTTTGCCCCACAGAGGACATTTGGCAATGTCAGGAGACATTCTTGGTTATCACAGCTTTGCGGAGGAGGCAGATGGGCTGCTGGCATCTTGTGGGCAGAGGTCAGGGATGCTGTTAACCACCCTACAACAGGCAGGACAGACAGTCCCCACTAGCAGGAATCATCTGGCCCACAACATCAGTCATGCTGAACTTGAGAAACCTGTTTTATCTGTCTAAAACCTCTGCCATGGGTTTTGGCGCCTGATATTTATGAAGAAAAACCTCTTCTTTTTATTCTCAAGGTGTTTGCACTCTGGAAAATAAAATAGTGAAACGTGACAAATAGAAAGTATTTTGCTTCAAGTACATACAAAAGATCTTTAATCTTTCTTTTTAACTGGTAGAACCCTTAAATGAGTCCCAGGAGGAATGTTCTCTCTATTCCTGGGAGACGGATTACAAAGAGCATGTAACCAAAAAAAAAAACGTAAGCATTTAGTCCCAACACAATGTGCTCACTGTTTTTTCTTTTTTTTTAAAACCAAACTGGTTCTCCCTTCAATTATTCTTAAAAGCTTCATTTAGGTGCTAATCTGTTTTCTCACATCTCTAATACTTTCTAATCTCACTTTTAACAAGGATGGCTACTCATTATTCTCCAGGCATCTGTAGAATCAAAATCTTGAATCTCAAGAATCTGGAGGGTTTCCAGTCACAAAACAGAAAAAAATGTTAAAATAATTGTGAGGTTATGTCAGTCATTAAGAAAGGACTGGCCTGATACCTAAAATCCACTACTGTATTACCTCTTTTGGGTTAAAACATTGTTTATAAAGGACAACTGTTAAAATGCAAACAGTTGACTTAGTGAGATAATATGTTAATATATTAGCAATTGGTTACATGGATTGGTTACACTATTTGTATGAGATGTTCCCACAGGCTCATAAGATTGTTTGATCCCTGCCCAATCTGAGTTCAGAGACGTTATTTCAGTAGCTGGATATCAATGATGATTGGAGTATTTTCACCGTGGAAACCTGCAACTATATGCTTAAGCACGTACCCCACTCCCATCCTCCACCCCCACCCAGAGGATTGTTTATCTGCATGCCCTGGGTTTAAGAGATAACAGAGGTTTTTATCTTGAGAAAGCAGAAAACAATGCCCAAGAGAAACCCTTCTCTGGGCCATAGGGTCAATGTGAAGGCATTGAGGACTTGTAGAAAGGGAAGGCCTCATGGAAGGGGTGGGCCAGGAGACAAGTGGGGCCCCTAATGAGAATTCACCAGCTCCAGGGCTCTGTGCACAAACTCCAATGGAATCTTGCCAAAATTTGGCAAAGTTAAGAATTGGGTTAAGGTGACAATCTGGAAAATTCCATTAACAAACGTAATGAATAAACTGTCTTTAAGATAGCATCAAGATTCCACAGTCACTATAGTTGAAAGTATTAGTACATTATGATTGATTGCCTAATTTCAGTAAGTATAGGATCATTTTCCATTTCAAAGCTATGCTATAAATACTGTGCCATAAATATTTACATGTGAGGGTTAATTAACATAGCTGCATCAAAATAACGGCACCGTATCTGTGACTATCGTATCATTTAAATAATTTTTGGAATGCACAAAAAAAGGAAGTACTTAAAAGAATAGATTTTTTACATAAAAATAACATTTTTGTTGTGAATGGGACAATATTAATAACAATTTTGAAATTTGATTTTACAGAGAGTATGCACTATAGAGAAAAATGTTTCAGGAATGGCAGTAAATTGGATAAATGAGGAACTTATTTGGTCAAATCAACAAGAAGGAATCATTACCGTAACAGATATGAAAGGAAACAATTCCCGTGTTCTCTTAAGTACTTTGAAATATCCTGCAAATGTAGCAGTTGATCCAGTAGAAAGGTAAATACTGCTGTTTTTGAACATTGAAATGTATTTCAAAATCTGACAAGAATACGTAAAATCGTAACATTTGGAGCTCATTGACAAGGCCCTCTTTTACAGAACACAGATACCATTTCCCTTACCATGGTTGCCAGCAGTGGAATCAAGGCAGGCTTGTTCCCTCTTTAAACAGCACTCGACCGCTTTTATAAAAGCATCATTCTTCTAACCTGAGATCCCATGGAATTTCTGGGACAAGGCAATAAATATTTCATGAATTAGATTTTCATTCAAAACAGTCCCACTCGTCCTGAGCAGACGTGCAGGGCCTGCTGAGACGCTGAGGCAGCTGGTGGTTTCCATGACCTTACATTCGATCACGTGTCTATGTAATGTGCCTGCCGGCAGGTTTATATTTTGGTGTTCGGAGGAGGCCGGCAGCCTTCACAGAGCAGATCTCAGTGGTGTGGCCGCGAAGGTTCTGTTGGAGACGTCACAGAAAGTAACTGCCGTGTCATTGGATGTGTCCGAGAAACGGCTCTTTTGGATTCAGTATAACAGAGAGGGAAGCAAATCTCGTCTGTATTCCTGTGATTATGATGGCGATTCTGTCCATTTCAGCCAACATCTTACACAGTAAGTTATACTTGTGGTGTAACAGAAAACAGTTGGCATTTGATGTTTTTCTGATAAATTAATGTTACTTTTGTCAGCTAAACTGGTTGGTGGCTTATTACAGATTTGGGAGACCAGAGGCTTGAATCCAAGTCCCAGACTTACAATTTATTAGATAAGTGACTTTGGGCAGGTCCATGACTTCTCTTCTTTAGTTTCCTTTTAATGTGGGCATATTGAGAGTCCCTGTTTCTTGGGGTTATTGTGAAAATTAAGTAAAGAAACGCAGATAAAAGTAGTTACCAGTATTAGGCATATAACAAGTTTTTTCACATGTTAGTTGAAGTTTTTCTTTTTGAAATTAAGTCATATATTTGCAAAGCACCTGTATTTCATTTGATTTGCTATCTTGCCAATAACTGGCTCTCCATCTTGTGGCAAGTGACAGAAATTAGTTAAGTGTGAAGTGAACACTTACCCTGTTCCTACTTTCTTCCCTATTTTGTTTTCATCACTCTTACATGTTGATTAGCAAAAGAATGAGACAATGAATCTGCAGCTGGAAATTTTATCTTATTAATTCAGATTATGGCTACATAAATAAAATTTTGAACAGTATCTATTTCTAAACCTAAATGAGAAACAACTGAAAAGGTAGGTGATAAAATTTAGACAATACTTTGAAATTAAGTAAAACTTTAATAAGCCCAGAAAGAAACGTTCTGCCGCACTTCGTTTTTTTTTTTTTGTCTGTTGTTTTGTAGGCACAATTTGTTTGCGATGTCCCTTTTTGGTGACCGTATAATCTATTCAGCATGGAAAAAGAAGACGATTTGGATAGCTAACAAGCACACTGGGATGGATATGGTTAGAATGAACCTCAATGCATCATCTTTACCCCCTGGTGGAGTTAAAGTAGTGCATCCCCTCGTACAGCCCAAGGCAGAGGGCAGTGCTACAGTGTCTGGTGAGTCATCTTTGACCTTGAGAAGGGTCTGGCACTGAGTCCCCGCCCATCTGCTTGTTCAAGCAAGACACCTCTGGGTCATCCTTGATTTCTTCCACTGCCTTACCCCCAGTTTCTAATTTACTGCCAAATCCTTTCTAGTTTGCCTCCTAAATACATCTCAAATGTCCACTTTCCTCTCCTGCCACCACCATAATCCAACAACCAGCACTTCTTGCCTGGCCTATTTTTTTTTTTTAATTTTATTTTGGTATCATTAATCTACAATTACATGAAGGACATTATGTCTACTAGGCTCTCCCCTTCACCAAGTCCCCCCCACATCCCCGTTCACAGTCACTGTCCATCAACATAATAAGATGCTGTAAAATCACTACTTGTCACCAAGTTCACAGTCACTGTGCTTCAACATAGTAAGATGCTGTAGAATCACTACTTGTCTTCTCTGTGTTGCACAACCCTCCATGCCCCCCCCAACAC